ATGAGACAGGCGCGTGAGCCCAATGCCGTTTCAGTTTTGCTTGACATTTGTATGCTGTTTATAATGAATGCCACTATAGCCTAATTTGTTTTATTTTACAGTTTAAAATATAATTTTATAACTACTTATTTTTCATTCTTGTTCTGTTCTGAATACCGTTCAATTTAAAATATTTGTTGTAGAGTGAGGGGAACTAAATAGGCTGTTTATATTTACCAGTATTTTAATATACATATAAATTACATACATTAATGTAGCCTAATTGTTTGCAATTACAAGGTTAACGGGTGTTTTTGGAGTAAAATCAATTTCTCTTTAGCGAGATTACTTCCTCTTTTTGGCCGGGTTTCGTTTCTTCGTGTCGTAAACTCTAGGGCGAGGCTTCTAAACCTGGGTGTTTTTAGGGGCGTGATATTCAAATAACGATTGTTTTCTGGCGCCACATTTATCAACATGCGATCATTCGTACGATGAGATTGGCGGCATATGAATGTTTCATAAATCACACGTGAACTCTGTCGTAAATTGATTTGTGCGCACAGATCTGCGCTCGTTTCTACGTTAGATTGATAAATGAGGCCCAATATTCCTTAATCCCTTCCTGTTCCAGTGTAGCTCAAATGTAATGTTTGATGTAAATATTCTAGCTTTTACTGAAAGGCACAAACGATCTGTGTTCGTTACCTGTGAATGTCCTCCACACCCATAGGTCCTTGTGACTGTCTGTGCTGAAGAAATACTCCTAAATCTGCCACCACATATTGACTAAAACAAACGAGTCACAAAAAAAACAGACTTTCAAATCAAGACAACTAAAACACAAACAGTTACACTAATTAAGGTAATCAAAATTGGACTACAATTCAGCGTAAAAGTCCAGAATCATGTAACTATATTGCAAGAGCGGTTTGTTTACCAGGCAGTTTTATGATAAGCACCTAAATAAAATAAAGCTAGTCAGTCTGTCCAGACCTTATATAATAGACGTGTTCTCTATAAAAAAAAAAAAACAACGAAAGACATTTAACTTTACAACAAATAAGAGTCAAAATCATAACCTGCCACGGCGCAGACTGACAATGCAATTCATGCTAAACGTTTGTTGACAACTCACTCACTTCAAGGCCACTTCTCATTGTCGACAGTCTGGAGGCTTGTTGGTGACATTTCCATGTGGAGCTCAAGCTAAGTAAATAAAGACAATGACACTTGTTAGTTAACCTTGACATAGCTTCTAAAAGGATGCAAGTTTGCGGCTAGCCAGCGTGAACGCATATGCCTCCGCTTAACAGACGGTTCTCGCGACATTTCAAAATACAAGTCCTAACAAAATAAAAGTCTGCTTTATTATCCAGGAAGATTTTCGTTAAGGCGATTTGGCTCATTTCTTTTAAAGGGGTCATATGATGCTTTTTTAAAGATCATTATTTTGTGTATTTGGTGTAACAGAATATGTTGACATGCTTTAATGTTCAAAAAACACATTATTTTTCAAATACTGTACATTATTGTAGGTCCTCTATGCCCCGCCTCGTTTTCTACAAAGTCCCTCCTTCCGACAAGCGCAGTCTGCTCTGATTGGCCAGCT